ATACAGTAAACCTCTTCCCAGTCTTTTGTTTCCACTAGGCTCCTCTGTGCGTCAGCCACAGCTGCCTTATTTATAGCTGCTCAGGCTCACAGGGAATGTTCAGGAAAGAATGAGTCTTTGTATAACTCTCAAAGGTTGGTCTGGCCATTGGGCAGAGGTAGACTTAACTCTGAATATTGATAAGGCCATTTGGTAATGTATTTATTTTACTTTTTGAAGCTTTAATAAACCTAAATAATTCCTTCCCACTCAGATGGGACTTATAACCTAATTTGGACAAATGACTAACTTATATTGACTCCTTTAGTATATTCAAATAAAAATTAAGCAAAATAGATGGCTATTGTTGGGGATTTTAAAAAAGATTTGTTTCAGACCTGAATTTAAAATTCATGAACTTTTATTTCATGTCTCTGATCTTGAATTTCCCAGTTTGTGAAAGGATGAAGGTAATCCTCTTACCTCTAAGGTTGGTTAAGCGTCAAATAAACCATAATTTCTATGAAGCATCCAGCACGGTGCTACTACGGAGCAGTCACTCAATAAATTGCATTTCTCGTTCAGAGACTAAAAACCTACATTTTCTTCATTCGCACTATCTCATTTCTAAACGAGGTGGGTCCCTCTGCTCTATACTGTCTCTAATGAAGAGTTGAGGAAATGGATAGAAAGAGTGGTGTCAAGTGTACTCCTTTTTCTTGGCTCCCAAGGGTGTTGATTATACCTTAAATTAGTAACTACTTTCTGTTATTGCTACTCTGCCATATCTAAAGATCCCATTGAAATGTTATAGTTAGGGAAAGCTTGCAGTGTACTCCTTTCTTGGCTCCCAAGGGTGTTGATTATACCTTAAATTAGTAACTACTTTCTGTTATTGCTACTCTGCCATATCTAAAGATCCCATTGAAATGTTATAGTTAGGGAAAGCTTGCTAAATTTTATAAGTAGCTTCTGCAAGGGGGAAGACAATCATATCTACCCCCTAAATAAGCAGAAATTTTAAAAGATTGAACATGGAAGAATAAAAGATGAGAAAAGGTTTCAGGAGAAAAATGATCATCTATATTAGTGTCCCTTGAGAACTGGCTGGAGAAAAAACAAGAAACCTGAGAGGCAGAGTTTCATGATTTAGATGACAGAATCTTTTAAAACATTGCTTTAATTACCGTGTAGCACAAGAACCATAAATAAACTAAAAGTAACTGCAGACTGGAGGGAAATTAAATAAAGGAAATGACAGATTAGGAAAATTCCGTAGTGAATACACACACACACACACACACACAAATGTTATAGAAGCATATATTCATATATGTGTGTATAATAGGAAGATATGCCTAATAAGAGGAGTTAAACAAGTTCATTTATCCATTTATCTGTATCACTAGAGAATTATTTCCAGGATAGGGGCATTTATGAGAGTGGTTTTAAGTTATAGAATGCTTTAACTTGTTTAAAAAAAGTATGTTAACATTTGGAATACTATACAATTTCAGTATTACATATAAAAATTGTCTCTTTGTAACTAAAAATGTTGAGTCAGCATGTGTTAATTATATCACTTTGTCAATAATTGAATTTTCGTTTATCCTCACTAAGTGAAAGTAGACATTGGATTTTCCTTTTTTTTTGTTTGAGAGTCAAATACGAAATTTTAACTACTTTTACAAAATGGACTAAAATAATACTATAGATTCCAGCTTTTTTTGTATCTGTAGCGAGAACATATCTGTAATTTTTGTTTTCTTTTTTTCCCTGGATGTTACAATGGCCCAATCTATACAATGTATAAACATTGCCAAAAGGCCACAAATATATTTAGCAAACATTTTTATTCTGTGTTTTTCTAACAATTCCATTAAACGTATTATCTGGGATATGCAAGAGGTTGTCAAAGTAAAGGAAAAGAGGTGAAAATTTCTTATATGTACAGCTAAGACCTTAGGCTTTGTCTTGCAGGTTTATCCTAAGAAGCCTTTCATTTAAAAAGTTACTCAGTTCTTAACCTGATAATGGATGGCAAGATAATCCTTTGCCTTCGCCATCAAAAACCAGGAAATAAATCTGGCTTTTAAAAAAAATTAAAAACATTCCCAAATTTTCTATCTGGCTGCATCTTGTAGATGCTGAAAACACAAAAGCAGGTGTCAGCAAAGCTGTAAATACCTGAGAATAAAAGCGTAGCACCAATACACATAAACAGAAATTCTGTTCAGACATGCTGGAGACTTGGGCAGAAACACACAGAATCTGACTGACTTCAGTAACTTCAGCCATCTACATTCTTTTCCTTCTTATATAAGCCATTAATGTTTTGTTTTTCCTTTTTAAAGGGAATCATGTGCAGGTTTTACTCATTCTCCCTAAGCCTACTTAATATCAAACTGATGCATGGCTTAAGTGAATAGAATCTTCAGCTTACTTTTTTTTTGTGCTAGAACTACTGTTAGGTAGAGAGGCAACTCTGGATCCTTGTCAAAAAAACTCCAAAAGGACTTTTTAAAATAAAAAGAAGGTAACCACCAATATATACCCTCAGGTTCAGACTCGTTATCTCATTATCTGTTGTATCATTTTCTTTGCAGTGCTGTAAAGAATGAGAGACATAGGAATTAAGATGTCGAACGCATATTTTCACCTTTCAAAAATCTGAGTTGGGAGGGAGAGGAGTTCTTAAATCTAAAAGGGAATGTAAGGTTTCAAATATGCTTCATGTCACAAGTTGATTTTGACAGTGGTTAATTCTTAAATGTTAGGATAAAACCGAAAAGGTGCCTATACATGGATGTGAGTAGCAAAGCAGAGTAAGCTTTCAAAAGGACAGCTGCAGGAGTGATGAACAAAATTAAGTGATTTCATTACTGAAGACCATATGTCCAAGGAACAGAAATCCCTTTTGCTCAAACTGGGTACAACGGCTATGTGATCTCATATGACACAGAGTTCAGGATGGCTTGACGCTGCAGCTCCCAGATCTCATTCCCATCTGCCAGCCATCATGGTGGTTTCCTCTTAAAGATGCTATCAATATAACTTCATTCCAGCCATCGCCCCCATACGAAGCGATGAGAAAGGAGTAACACAATCATTTCTTCCTGGTTTTCTTAAGAGCAATGACAATTTTCTCTGCAGAGTCCTCTTCCATCACCCTCCCCAACCTAGACCCCACCTCCAGCAGACTGCTTCTCAGGTCTCGCCAGAAATGGTCACATTTGGCTCCTAAACCAGTCATGGGCAAGGGGAATGGGATTTCTGTGATTGAAATAGATTAATCACTGTCTGCACTAAAACAGGGGAGATCACCTTCCTCTGTAGTACATGTATCTACAGAAGAAGTAGAAACAAATGCAAAATAGAAGAAGGAAATGAAAACTGTGTAGGAAATCAAGGGTATCCACTATTACATATTCCAGGATCCAAGAGAACGAAACAGAGCAGATGGATGTAGAATAGTTGGACAAGAGAACCATGTGCTAAGAAGGGTGAATACATTTTGTATCCAGTATTTAGAAAAGAAAAAGAATATACAGAATTCTTGAAGAGGCTGGGGATTAGTGAAAGTAACAAGACACTTGGAATATAACCTTTATCATAAAATCTCAGATCAGGCAACTAAGTGAAGTTTTGCAGAGATGTGATGAGCTCTACAAGTTTAGGCAAATAAAGGAGAATCCAGTCAATGCGTTAAAAAAAAAACACAGCCACTTCAAAACCTTTCATTGATAACATGTGCAGGAGTCTCCCTCGGTGTCTGGGATAGCAATAAAAACTTTGGTGTGTGACCATATGATAAAGTATGATAAAGTATAATAGCTCTTTATCAGAGCTATACTCTTTAAGAGAGTATAATAGCTCTGTTGCTTTTCCCATTTCTGCCCCTGGACTAGGTTTCTGTCATCAGTGGAACCTACCTGGGTTTGGATTACATGAGCAAGCAAAATGGAGGTGAAGGTGGCACCATTATTAATATGTCCTCTTTAGCAGGTAAGGCCAATTATCATGTTAATAATGATTTCTTACAGGTAATTGGGACCACAAAAGTAACTCTTCGAAGTGTACTTATTATCAACTCAGGTTTGAAATTGAAACTTGGTTTACTTTTTTTTTTTTTTACTGGTTCTATGGAATTTTCTGTTATGTAATATCAAAGTTCAAACTCTATGTTTATTCCTATTATCTTAAATTGTGACTTTATCTTTCTGCAGTACTATTTAAAAAAAATGTATAGATATTTTCCCAGAGTTGCTATTTGTCAAAGGTTATTGTGAGCTTCCTAAGCAGTAAAACATGTAAAAGCACCTTTGATAGACTAAAAAGGGCTAAAACAAAGTTAAGGTATCTCTACTCCTGTGTGATTTTAGTAAGTGTGTCTAATTTTAAACTATGGCATATATAGTTAGTTGGGATATACTGTAGGGGAAGCCAGACTTGATCTCTACTTTCTCAGCCTCTCTGGCCCAGCCTGAGAATGAAATTGACATAAGATGGATCAACAAGGGCAAAGCATACAGGTTTTCACACGTCCATGAGAGCCCCCATAGGAAAATGAAGACCCAAAGAAATGGCAAGGCCTAGCTGTTTATAAACTAGGTTGAACAAAGCAAGGCAATTGTGGGAAAGTAACTAAAATATAGGGGGAGACTAAAGAAAGATAAAGTTATTTTAACAACGTCTCTACAGGTGTCTCTTGGCCTTGACTCCAATCTCCAGCGATAAGGTTTCTTTTCTCCTGGTACCGGGACAGCATCTTTTACATGGGATTCTGTGTCCTGCTTTCAGGAAGAAAAGGGAGATTAAAGTGTTCCCTTGCACCTGCTGTTTTACAAGTGCCTTTAGCTCAAATTCACCCTTATGCCCATGCGACATACTTTGGGGTGGCATATTCCACCTCCCTTCAGTGCTAAACTGCAATCATAAATAGACCCAAAGGTGTAATGGTTTAAACATAGCGTAAGCTTATTCCTCACTTATATATCAGCCCAGGGCAAGATCCTTGCCGCAGGGAACCTCTTCTGCACGCAGCCTTTTGGGAAACCAGGCTGGCAGAAGCTCTTCAGTGTGGAGCTTCTAGAGTTACGCTGGCACTGGGGGACTCCTTTCTCTCCTACAGGAAGAGCAAGAGAACCCTGTGGAGGTGTGGCTCCTCTTCTAAATCCCAGCCCTGCAATGGCAAACCTAACTCTGCTCACATTCCTATAGGCTTTGACCTCATGGCTCACCTAACGACAGGGAGTCTGGGAAATGTAGTCTAGCTGTGTGCCTAAGGGTGGATGTCAGAGGAGAGCTGATCATCCTTGCCACAAAGGGCAATCCAAAATGTGTTTTATTCGGGGCAGTGTGATTTACGATCAGCTGATGTCGTCTTACTCAGTATTAGCTATAAACCTTTGGCAGGAACTTTTGGAGCAGAAAGACTTTACTTTGAAAATTCTAGGAAAAAATCATTAATGGGTCTTGAATAGTTAAAGTGAAATCATGAAATTTTAGAACACTGACCAATATTGACAGCAAGTCTAAACTATTTGTGTCCAAAAAACAGTGAGACTTTCTTCAGTCATTGGGTCGGTTTCAGTTATTGTGGTAATTGCAGAATCCGTGTTCCTCGCCGCCCCCCCACCATCCTGTCCTCCACCTCCTGGCTGCAGTAGCACTGGGGGAGTCAGGTGACCACACTAGTGTCTGAGGCTCAGCGTTTTTCTCATTCCTCCAGGAATCATTGTCAGATGGTCTTTAAACCACTGTGAACTTAGCGCGAGTGGAAACTTAGACATCTCCCTCTTCAGAAGTTCTCAAAAATAAACCCGCATCTCATTTTCTGAGTTGCTTCAAGACAAAAATGCCATCCCTAGAGTTATTATAGCCCTGGTTCTATAAATTGTTCAGGGTAATCTGGTTATTTTTCCTAACATGTCATCTACTTATAAATTATAACATTTCAAGTCCAAGAGTACATTAAAAGATGAAAGCATGGGCAATACTTAAAAGAGATATTGAGCCCCAGAGAGGGCTGAAGTTTGGATTCTCAGAGGCTGGAACCCAAAAGGCAAATTGTCACGGCTAAATCTACACTATTTTGAAATGAAATCGTAAGAAAAATACATGAATGATTGGAGAATTAAGAAGAAATATTTAATAGTTTAATACAAATATAAATGTACAAAAGAACCTAGGGTGGTGATTAAGACATAATTCCATGAATTCTCTCTTAAAGTTAAGGGGGCTGGTGACACTGGAGAACCATGAACATCAGAGACTCTTGACCTTGTATCATTGGAGGCACTGATTTCAATCTCAGGAAAGAGAGAAGGCCTCGGGGTTGAATCAATATAGGACTCTCTGGGAGAGCCTCTGTACCGGAAGAGGCTTACTTGCCCCAAAGAGCATGAATAGAGAAATGCAGGGTAGTACTGCCTTTTATCCAATAAAAATATTTAAATATATAGTAACAATTAACTTTCACTGAGCGCTCACCGTTTGCATGATACTCTCTTAAACACTGCGTATGTGTTCTCTCATTTAATACTCTCAGCAGCACAGTGAAGTAGATTCTATAATCTTCATCTTGCAGATAAGGGAATCTAGCCTGGGGAGCTTAGGTTTCTTGCACAAGCTTACATGCAGGGAAGCGGGGGAGCTGCAGTTCTCACGCTAGCAGCCTGATAAGAGATCCCCTACTCTTAACCACTTGATTTTCTCTGTCTTCTATCTATGAGTCTGTCAGTCTCTCTCTCTTTCTGTGTCTATCTTAGCCTAATTATAAAGAAAGAGAAACTGAATTCCTGTAACTTGATTAAGCCAATGCGATTTGCTAGTATCTTCAGGCCTCCTGGGCACTACCTGAATCTCAGGACTATTTATTAAACCTTCAGTGAAAACTTAAGCTATTGCCCCATTTGACACACACAGAGTAAAGCCCTGGAACCATTTGGGGAGCTTACCAACATCACAAGTCAAAACATGCCACAGAGAAGAGTAATTTAGGGATTACAATTAGATGTCCACTCGGCTTTCTTGGCTAAGAGCTTGCTTTGTCACAGTACCCATCCTGGGTGTGAATTTTCCTCTTACCTATCTCAGAGCCAGTACTGGGAACCCTGTGTGGATCCTTCTCTAATCATGCAGATAGAACAATGAATGGATATAAATTCAACGAGGAGACCACTTTGGCTTTGAATTACCTTTCGGACACTCTTACAGTCTAGTGAATAGCAGAACAGCCTAAAGTGGAGTAGTACTGACACATATACACTACCAAATGCAAAATGCATGGCTAGTGGGAAACAGCCACATAGCACAGGGAGATCAGCTCAGTGCTTTGTGACCACCTAGAGGGGTGGGATAGGGAGGGTGGGAGGGAGACGCAGGAGGGAGGGGATATGGGGATATATGTATACTTATAGCTGATTCACTTTGTTATACAGCAGAAACTAACACAACATTGTAAAGCAATTATACTCCAATAAAGTTATTTTTTAAAAAAACAAAAAAACAAAAAAAGCAAAGTGGTTCTCCCTCTGATATTCCTCCCAACAGGCAGGGTAACTCTGTTGATCATGGTTCAATAGTTCGTCTCTGTCCATTATACTTGATTGGGTACCTTCATAATGCCTGTCCTCCATACTTGTGGCATCTACACCATTTCCTTGTTGCCTCTGGCCAATCCAGACAGCCCCTGCTACCCCTCCTCTGACCCCGCCTGGGCTTTGTCACTGAGGTGTCCTCATCTCAGAAAGAGTATTAAAATGTATTGTCTTGAATTTTATCCACTCACCAAGAGCTTCTGTTCTTCCCATAATGAGATCAGTTTGATACAAATACAGGATTTTGTAATAGTAGCAGAAGATAAATGTAGACGTCTCCCATCCTCATACTTTCCTCAGAAATAATATCAACAATTTTGTTCCCTTGAAGTTGGAGCATGTCGGCAGAGGTCAGATGACCAAAAAAGTCTTTGAGGGGTTACTGGAGTCAAAGTAATTCTTTTTTTTTTTTTTTTGACTCCTCAGCTTATATGAGGTATAATTGACAAATCTGTAGGAAGAGTAGTTCTAATGCTTGCTTCCTCTGTGTTTTCCAAATATTCCTTCCTCACAGACTTTCCCTCTTTTCCCCCTACTGCTCACTCTGTTGAAGGAATGGTGGGTAATATTCAACCCAACCAGAGTCCATCCCATGATCTCTTGCACAGATCCAGTGGAATCATTTAGTGTCATAGTAAAACCTCAAGTTGATACACTGGTTTCGGCAGAGAAGTTAATGAGTAATGACCGCTGACGCAGACCGAGTATCAGACGCAATTAGTAAGTTTAACAAACAGAGGAGTAGTTACAGGGGAGAGTGATTCCTCGGTGTGTTGAGGGAAGGGTGTGCTTGTCCCTGGAAGCCCTGGAAGTTGTTCCAACCTCTGTTAACCACATAGATTCTTCCGTACAAGTTTTTGTCTATAAATATAATATATAAACCGGCACTCATTTTACCACATCCATCCTTAACTGTCACACAAGAAAAAGTTGGACAAGAGAGAAGAGTGAAGTCTGGTTTAAAGCAGATAAACAGCTCTGCTCCCACGAGGCATCCCATAGGAGTCGATTATGCTGCTTCTATGCTTGGTGGGAAAGGAAGAGTCGTCAGCACAGGAAGAGTCTGCCCACCAACCCTGCTCCCACCTGCTCAGCTACTGAGGTCTTGGTGTTTGCTATGCCTCAAAAATAAGTCACTCAGTAGCATTTGGTGAGTGACACCACGAAGGCTGTATCTGCTCTGAATTGAAAACATTAGAGTCTCAAGAAAATACTTGAAAATCTTAGAACTTGTTTAGCATGTCTTAAACCCAGCCCAGTGACATACTCACTTGAGCTCTAAGTTGTATCGACAACTATGTAATTAGTGTGTGTTACAGCAGAAGAGCTAAAGTTACCACTTTAAATAACACATTCAAGTTAACCAAACATGTTAAACATGGACAGAAGGGAAATGGGGCTATG